TGGGCTGTTGAGCGTAGTTCAGGAATATGATAGTGAAGGCTTTCAGGGACAAGTCACCCTTCCCTCCTAGCAGCAGCAGCTGCAGTTTTTGGTTCATCCAGCACTGGCAGATGAGGAGCAGGACTTGCTTGCGATGAGGTCGCTAGAGGAAATGGAGGTTTGTGCAACTAGCTTATCACTGAGGGAAGGAAATTCCCTGGGGCAAACGGCTTGACGGCCGCGTTTCCTGAGAGGTTGGCAGATCCTGTCTCTTTGGGGCTCTCCTGCTTCTTCAGTGATCCCTTGACTAGAGGGAGATTTGTGAGAGCTGAGGGCCGGCGATGAATTGCCCTTGGGCATACAGATTACAAAATTTGGCTTCCATCCTAGTCAAGATATGGAGGGAAATAACAGGGAGATAACTGTCTCCCAGTCCATGTCATGCACGTACAGGACTGGCACACTGTTTGCAGGAAATATTTGCAGTGGGGTGAATCGGGAGGGTTGTGTGTTGGCGTTGGGCCAAACCTTTGGAACGTGTCTTACTTAGGGTTGACCTTGCTCTGGTATTCCTCCACCATTCATTAACAGGCAGCCACTTGTGTAGGTTCATGCAGTACACATAAGCGGGTGGAGAGGGAGGCTATGCAGAAATGTTCTGAGGTAAGATAAGGTCGCTGGAATCCGTTGATGTTTTGTTTTTCTGGGGTGACTTACTTGCAGTCAGTGTACAGTAACGGGGGCTTGCTGGGCTTAAATGCACAGATGGAAAGAGAGGAAATTCACTCTGTCCATGAAGATTTTCACAGGCGTATATCTGGCCTGCACAAAAGATAGGGACATGTTTGTTGACTTCCACTGCAACCAGAGTGGTGATTAACATGAAGATGGAGGCTTTGGGGCGGGCCTTCTGGGGGCACTCTTTTGCTCTTTCAGAAGAGTTGCAGATTCTGGTGAGCCTTCCTTCTTCCCACCCTGCTCCAGGGTTATAAATCTTTTGGGACTCCGCTTTGGCTGAGTTGAATGGGGAGAAGCAGTTTGTCTCCTGTCAAGTTAAAGTCATGAGGGTGAAGAAATGGAGCCTGACAATGGCAGAACGGGTGGTGTAAATTAAAATCTGACCGGTATACAGGCAGTCCCCGGGTTACATGGATCCGACTTACATCGAATCCCTACTTACAAACGGGGGGAGGCAATCCCACACTAGCTGCTTCCCCCCAGCAGATCAGGGAGATGCGAAGCTAGCAACCCCCCCCCAGCAGACCAGAGAGACGCAAAGTGAGCCCTCCCCCTTCCCCAGCAGACCAGGGAGACATGGAGCGGCTTTTCTCAGCAGACACCTCAGCTTGAGAATAAAGGACTGAGGGAAGTGAGGTGTGGGAGAATAAAACTGAGCTCTGGAGAAATGTTTGGCTAGAGTTTCCCCTACAATATGTACCAGTTCCGACTTACATACAAATTCAACTTAAGAACAAACCTACAGTCCCTATCTTGTACGTAACCCGGGGACTGCCTGTACTTGCCACGTAATACACAAGGGTATCATCACCCTGGAAAACTGTGGGTCAAATTGGCGGTAACCTCAAAGGAAACACGTCCGAGGCAAAGACCGTCCCCAGGAAATCAGAGGAGACTAAGAAACACTTTTTACCACATTTGGAATTTTTTTGGCTTCAGAACTGGAAGTTCTTCGAGAGTTTGCTCGTGTCCATTCAACATATGTATGTGTGCTTGCCACATGCTCTGGTGCCAGAAGTTTTTCCCTAAGCAGACCCCGTCTGGGTCCCCAGCACCCTCTGGAGTGGCGCGTGTATGTCCCGCTATCTAGGACACTCCCCTTCCTCCTCCATTCCTTCTTACCACCGGCGATGGCGCTTGGAACAGCGTGCTCCGGCTTTAGCTGTGTCAAGCGTTCCCTAGCCCTATTGTTTTGTAAATAGTTCTATCACTGTCGACCCTCCTGAGGCAGCTCACTACCACACCCAGGACTGCTGCAGAGGTGTGTCTGCAGACCATGGGGCAGTCTGCACATGGGTCGTACCCCTAGCCAGGCTCATGAGGCCCCTTCAACTGTGGCGGGCGTCAGTGTACGCACCAGCCAAGCGCTCTCTCGAAAGGGTGGTCATGGTTCCATCTCATGTGGTAAGGGCCCTGGAATGGTGGACAATGATTGAAACCTCTATGTCTTACCTCAGTGTTGTTAATTCGCCTGTGGCGTCCGATCAGTTCCGCCCCTCTGGGAAGTTGTTTGGTGTACTTTGAGTTCAAGGAGGCAGCCGAAAGTTATTCAGTTTACATGAGACAATTTACTCCTGCTGCGACGGCCTTGTTGGAATTACTCCAGGGCTGAGACGGAAATGCTTCCGTTGACTTAACTGAGTCCGTGGTGTAATGCGCCAAGACAGAAGGGCTATCTTAAGAGGCTGATGATGTAAGAAGGCTTAACTTGGGAATATCGTTGAACTCGGGGAGACTTGTTTCTTCTCAGTTACATCTCTGTAATTATGGCTACGCCCATGGCCTTCAAATGGAGGATCTGTGCGCCTGCATAAAACCGCAAACCAGCTGTGTTTTCTATAGTGAGGGACGAGAGGAGGGATTAGGGGACAGGAGTGCTTTCTGTTCCCTGGTACTAATGTGCTGTGTGAAAGTTGATGAAGTGACAGTCCGATATTAGCACTGTATCACAACTATCTCCGGCACCTGTCGTCTGGCTGTAGAAACTCGTTATACACAGGACGGGTCAGACTCTGGCTGGAGCAGGGGTCGGTGGTACCAGTGTATCCTGTCTCTAGCAGCTGTTTCCGAAGAAGATACAAGAACCCCTGCAGCAGGTTGTGATCAGATAACCTACTCCCAGGAAACGTCTGATCCCTTGATGCTCGAGAGTTTATAAACCTTCTAAAATTCATAAGAGTAAGGAATAAAAAATATTGCAACGCCCGATATTCCTGTTATCCAACTGTGTAAAGTCTGGCTTTTAAAAAGCCCTGCTAAGCTCTTAGCTTTCATGTTGCAGCGTATAATGAGTCCATTATGGCTTCGGTCCTGCTATCCAACACATTAATTTGAGTTGGCTTCTCTCCGTTTGATCTATCTTGCCCAAAATATCTTGCCATTGCTTTGGGACAGTACCTTTGTCTATTCATGTGCAACGTTCCGAGCACCACTCTTCACCCTCCAGGAATAACTCAGCGTTGGAAGCAAGGGGAGGCATTTCGACGGTGGTCGGGGAATATTTGCTAGTGCTAGTAACTGGGAGCGTTATCTGAAGCGTGTTGGCTGATTGGTCTCAGGCAGGAGAGCTGGAATCGTGCTCCTGTGACCATCCAAAAGCTGGAAGGCAATTAAATGCTGAGTCTCTCACATGCTGCTTGTAAATCTAACACCAGCTTATCCCCGTTCCCAAAAATAAACCACCAGAGTGCTAATCTGAATGCGCTTAGGTCTCTAAATAGAGAAATTAGAATTAGGTCATATGCAGGCATTACCACATTGCTATGATGGTAGCATCTAGACTAGAGGGTCTGCCAAGATTAGGGCATTGTGCTAAGTGCCGTACAAACACACTGTAAGAAAAAGGCTCCGCTTCAGGTAGCTCACATGATACATAATTAACCTTTCGGACTCTGCTACAAGCTGCCGTTGAGGACTAGAATTTAGTAAAATTCATATACGCTTGCCACTCCTATAGATAACAAGACACCCACAGTTTCATCAATGGTGATTATAAAAATACCCCAAACCCTATGGAAACGTGGCAGGGATGTAAACTATCATGCTGGTTGTTGGGAGTTTGGAAGAAGCCGTCTCTATGCGTAAGTTATTTCATAATTCACCATGTGAGGTGGAAACCACTGGGGGAGAGAAGCTAGGTGCATGGGCGGTGGGTAACGTAGGCAAAGGAAGGCACAGCAGCCTCCGACCCTCATCTGGGGTTGGACAAGGCTTAACTGGGGTGGGGGAAGGTTGCGAAGGGGCATGGTCTTGAGGGAAGGAGTGGGGCTTTGGGAAGAATGGGCAGGACTTCGGCTGCCATCCCCAGCTCGGCCTTCACCTGCCGCCTATGGCTGACCTATGCTTCTTCAGTCTTTTTTTTTTCTCTCCCTCCTCTCCCCCTCCCCCAGTGTGGTCTCTGCCTTAGCCTCACATCGGTAAAACTGGTCACAGAAACACTTGCCTCTGGAACCCACATGCCTACCGGGTGTGGTTCACTGTCTCATGTGGTGGCACTTAGACCCCTTACAGCCAGAGATAAGAATGAATGAGCTCCAGCAGCGTAAGCCACCTAGCGGTAGGATGGCTTGCAGCGACAGCATGGCTTTTCCCTTAGCAGGAGAAGCAGGTGATGGCTTAAGGCCTTAGCTTGGAACACAGGAGAGCTGAGTGTGACGCCAGCTTGGCCAAAGGTTTTCTGTTGGGGCTTAGACTAGTCCCCGACAATGGGATTTTCTAAAGCAGTTGCCACTGAAATCAAGTAAGTCATTGGCTTTTGAGGGCTCAGAGTTAGGCCTTTGAAACAGCTCCCTTAATCTACCTGGCCCTCCAGTCCCAGCTATAAAAGGGGACTGACCGTCCTTGGTTTCCTCTTCCGTTCTGTCTCAGATCTATTGAGGCCCAAGTTCAGAAAGGCACTCCTCCACCAGTCCCGGCTTAAGCATGTATAAGTCCCATTGAAACCCATTGATTGTAAGCACATGCCTAAGTAAAGCATGCGTAGGGCTTCTGTTCTGGGGGGCGTATGACTTTGGGGGGATTTGGTTTTTAGCAGTTTTTTAATTTTATAAAGATATCCAAAAACCTGGGGATTTGGGGTGGGTGGGTTTCTCTTTGTCCTGTATTAAACAATGCCTGTTATTCACGGCAGCTAGTGTATAGAGTAATGAGTAATCTCTTTGTGATGTGCCCTTTAATGTAGTCCAGGTACAACCATTGTGAAGTAAAGTGCACCTGTGGGCAATTAATGTGTAGACAAACTCACACATCCAAGTACCCAGTTCTAAGGGTTGCCCAGTGTGGGTCAGATAAACACCACTTTGTGTGTGATCAGTGTTTATTGTGTGAAACCTGTAAGCCACAAGCTCTACGCGTGTACTTGAGTGTTGGTCTGCCTGTGGATGCCATACGTATGTACCTAGGCTCAAATGCCAAGAAGCACTTTTGTGTCTGGGGCAGGAGCTGTCTCTTGCTGTATGTATGTACAGCTCCTGGCGCACTGGGACCCTGAGTTTGGTTGAGGCCTCTCACTGCTGGGATAATACAAACAGTCAATAATAGCACTGCTGAATTTGGGGACAGATGGCTACTGAAAAGCATGTCTCTACGTGTTTTGCTAGCCTATCATTTGATCTTTTTTAAGTTTCTCCTGTACAGACTAACTCGGCTGCCCCTGGAAGCTTCAAATACAACCGTATCGCATGGTGGCTGCAGAGAGGTTAAAAGACGAGCGATGACGGTAAATGAAAATTCTTCTGTCAGAAAATGTCAGTGATGGCCCTCCTCAACCCTCCCCCTCTTCCCGCTCCCTTCAGTTTCGTTTTGAAGCCAGCTTGGCTATAAAGCTCAGTGCGAGGCCGATGAAAACTGAGGCTGGGTTAAGCTATGGGTAGGGGCTGCGGAAAAGGAATGGTCTGTGAGGATTTTCTCATCAAGTTTATTCTTCCAGAAGGTCCAGTGTGTTCCCCGGTCCTGTGAATAGGCTCTAGGCCTGGGCCTCACCAACCCCCTGGGTTCCCAGAGCTTTCTGGGAAGCCAAGACTCGATGGCTTCCCTGTGCTTCGTCGATGGCCTTACCCTTTGTGTTCCCCTCAGTCCAGGACAGCAAACCCCCTCCTGGCAGCAGCCGCTCTAGTCGAATATGCCGGAAGAAGTGAGCTCGGTGGAAAAGATAATAAAGGCCCAGGCCTGAGCTCCTTGGGGACAAAGGAGAACAAGCTGGACTAAAGAGTGCCGGATGTGGGAGGTTCAACCTATACTAATTAATCAGAATGAGAATGAGAATGGAATAGTGACCAATAGCTGGTTTGCACTGCTCAGTATTTGCCGTTTCTCTGTTTATTTACATTCATGACTTGAACATACACTTGTTTCTGCACGCGTTTTATTCTCCGCCTCGTGCTGATGAAACAAGTCTGGCAGTCCCTGCAGTATTATGATCCTGGGCTCCCATGAAAATGTGCACTATTTAATCATGGAGCTGGTTTTCACATTTATACGTGCTTAATTGCCAAGTTCAGCTAAGTGTTAACAAGACACCTGATCTGTTGTGTTTGCCGGGTATTGAATAGCCTGTTGAGATCTGTTACGACTCAGCGGCCCAATGTACTAACGGGGAGGAGTTTGGTGCCAAATCAAATATGGATCTTGTCTGCATTAAAAATGAGGCGTTCTGCTTTATACGGGATCTCTGGAGGCGGTTTGGCCAAATGCCAAATCAACATTTTGCAAAGCCTATGGGAAAAAAAAAGCCATTTCATCAAATTCAGAGTGTTTTGCTTTAGCTTTAGGGAGTCATTGTGGGCAAGAGACTAAGGTACTGGCTGGGGATTAGGTGAGGATATCACTTCACCTGTTTTTCCTCCCACCCTTTGTGCCCCTTGTCTTTTTCATTGGCAAGCTGTTTGAGGCACGGGCTTTGTGTGTGTGGAACCGGTAAGCTGTTTGAGGCAGGGGCTTTGTATGTGTGGAATCAACAAGCTGTTTGAGGCAAGGGCTTTGTATCTGTGGAATCGGCAAGTTGTTTGAGGCAGGGGCTTTGTATCTGTGGAATCTGCAAGCTGTTTGAGGCAGGGGCTTTGTATGTGTGGAATCAACAAGCTGTTTGAGGCAAGGGCTTTGTATGTGTGGAGTCGGCAAGCTGTTTGAGGCATGGGCTTTGTATGTGTGGAATCGACAAGCTGTTTGAGGCAGGGGCTTTGTATGTGTGGAGTCGGCAAGCTGTTTGAGGCAGGGGCTTTGTATGTGTGGAATCAGCAAGCTGTTTGAGGCAAGGGCTTTGTATCTGTGGAACCGGCAAGCTGTTTGAGGCAAGGGCTTTGTATCTGTGGAACCGGCAAGCTGTTTGAGGCAAGGGCTTTGTATCTGTGGAACCGGCAAGCTGTTTGAGGCAAGGGCTTTGTATCTGTGGAACCGGCAAGCTGTTTGAGGCAAGGGCTTTGTATCTGTGGAACCGGCAAGCTGTTTGAGGCAAGGGCTTTGTATCTGTGGAACCGGCAAGCTGTTTGAGGCAAGGGCTTTGTATCTGTGGAACCGGCAAGCTGTTTGAGGCAAGGGCTTTGTATCTGTGGAACCGGCAAGCTGTTTGAGGCAAGGGCTTTGTATCTGTGGAACCGGCAAGCTGTTTGAGGCAAGGGCTTTGTATCTGTGGAACCGACAAGCTGTTTGAGGCAAGGGCTTTGTATCTGTGGAATCGACAAGCTGTTTGAGGCACGGGCTTTGTATGTGTGGAATCGACAAGCTGTTTGAGGCAAGGGCTTTGTATCTGTGGAACCGACAAGCTGTTTGAGGCAAGGGCTTTGTATCTGTGGAATCGGCAAGCTGTTTGAGGCAAGGGCTTTGTATCTGTGGAATCGGCAAGCTGTTTGAGGCAAGGGCTTTGTATCTGTGGAATCGGCAAGCTGTTTGAGGCAAGGGCTTTGTATCTGTGGAATCGGCAAGCTGTTTGAGGCAAGGGCTTTGTATCTGTGGAATCGGCAAGCTGTTTGAGGCAAGGGCTTTGTATCTGTGGAATCGGCAAGCTGTTTGAGGCAAGGGCTTTGTATCTGTGGAATCGGCAAGCTGTTTGAGGCAAGGGCTTTGTATCTGTGGAATCGGCAAGCTGTTTGAGGCAAGGGCTTTGTATCTGTGGAATCGGCAAGCTGTTTGAGGCAAGGGCTTTGTATCTGTGGAATCGGCAAGCTGTTTGAGGCAAGGGCTTTGTATCTGTGGAATCGGCAAGCTGTTTGAGGCAAGGGCTTTGTATCTGTGGAATCGGCAAGCTGTTTGAGGCAAGGGCTTTGTATCTGTGGAATCGGCAAGCTGTTTGAGGCAAGGGCTTTGTATCTGTGGAATCGGCAAGCTGTTTGAGGCAAGGGCTTTGTATCTGTGGAATCGGCAAGCTGTTTGAGGCAAGGGCTTTGTATCTGTGGAATCGGCAAGCTGTTTGAGGCAAGGGCTTTGTATCTGTGGAGTCGGCAAGCTGTTTGAGGCAAGGGCTTTGTATCTGTGGAATCGGCAAGCTGTTTGAGGCAGGGGCTTTGTATCTGTGGAATCGGCAAGCTGTTTGAGGCAAGGGCTTTGTATCTGTGGAGTCGGCAAGCTGTTTGAGGCAGGGGCTTTGTATCTGTGGAATCGGCAAGCTGTTTGAGGCAAGGGCTTTGTATCTGTGGAGTCGGCAAGCTGTTTGAGGCAGGGGCTTTGTATCTGTGGACTCCCAATCTACGCTGAGTCTTGTAGGTGCTACCGTAATTATTATAATTATGCCCCATGCATCTCCCTGGATAAAACAATAGTGCACCAATTCTGACACTCGGGGGCGGCCCTTGACTAGCTGCCAGCAACTGGCGCCTTAGGCGAACCATGCAATCAACGCCCCCACCTCCAAACCCCTTGATATTGAGCCACCATTTGGTGCCCCATTTAACTTGGCACCCTAGATGACCGCCTAGTTCGCCTATATGGACGGGCCACTTCTGTGTACACTCAATGCTGTGTAACTACAATAGTGTCCAGACAGGGAATGTTCCCCCTTGGTCACACTTGGCTTTTTGTGCCCTTGCAGGGCGACCGATATGTTCAGTTTGTGTATCCTTGTGTTTGCCTGTTTTCTTACAACACACACAGAACAGGACACCAGAGCCCTGGGGCTGAAAGATTTTATGGCAGCACAATTGAAAATAGTCTGAGGCAGGCGTTGGTCACACTTGGCTTTTTGTGCCCTTGCAGGGCGACCGATATGTTCAGTTTGTGTATCCTTGTGTTTGCCTGTTTTCTTACAACACACACAGAACAGGACACCAGAGCCCTGGGGCTGAAAGATTTTATGGCAGCACAATTGAAAATAGTCTGAGGCACACGTCTCTACTTGCCAAAGCCCAGGCTTGGGACACAGTGTGACACACACGGACCCCAAAGGTCTCTGGTGCAGGGGCTGTCACAAACACATCGGCTGTGCCGCAGCTTTTAAACAGGCCCATCAATGTGCCAGACCTGCCAAAGAAACCTACTTGCCCGCAAGGCAAGGCCACACAATGTTAACGCCTCCTAGGTTCCAGCCTTCCTGCTGTTCGCTGTGGGTGCTTCCTGGGGAAGCCAACTGAGAAAGACTCCTAAGCAAAGTCTGTCACCCTCTCCAGACCTCAGTGTAGCTCAGCAATGCACTGACAGTGAGACCGGCCAGCTCCTTCAAAGCAGAGCAGGATTTCTGAGTCAATGGGAATACAGCTCCGGGAAGGCTTTCACTGACCACAGAGAAGCCGTATTGACCAACGTGTGAACTCCCGTAAGCCATGGCTCTGTGGGAGCCAATTTTTTCCCCCGGGTTCTGTCCCTTTGGCTGTCCATCTCAGGGGACCGCTTCCTGGGTATCGGTGAACCTGGCTGTGAACAGAGAGACCCGCCACCTTTTGGTCCTGAAGTCACATGTTCGGCCTGCTGGAGCCAGCCGATGTGAGGGGGCAGCCTTAGGTGTTCCCAATGTCCTCCTGGATCTGCCATGGAGCAAGGTAGGACGGCTCTCTCACGTCTTGAAGACTCCCTCATGCCCATCCCGGCAAACACCTCCTGTCTCCTGGAACAAGTTAACTCTTTGCCACCCCCTGCAGAGCAAAACCAAGTCGAAGGAATCGCTGCTGCATACAGTGCTCACAAAAATATTACAGCCAAGTCCCATTTTTGTCTCGGGGGCATTCCCCCCCATCCCCTCAGAGGTGACAGCCCTTCTTCTAGCCTCTCTCAGCACCAGAATAAAACACTCTTATTCAGTAAGGACACGGGGCCGCCAAGGTTGTGTGGCAGAGTGGGAACTTTGGCTTGGAAAGGCAAAGGTAGTGAGACGCCAAACGCCCATTGATTTCAACAGGCTTTTGGGGCTCATTCCCAGCCCTGCCATCAAGCGGCAGTGGACAGGAGCACACTGAACCGCAGTGCTCATGCCAGAGACACCCCCGCAAACGTCCTCGCTGCTTTCTAAACGCAGCTCTCGCCCATCCCCCCCATAACTGTTTTTAATGGCCTGCGTTTGTTTCAGCCTCGGCGGCCATATGGTACGCACAATGCCCCATTAAACATACATTTACTGGCTTTCATCAGTCTGTGTCACAGCTTCAGCAGTTGTTTAATGTCGGTTTCTGTGTGTGACCAAAGGTTTACGATGGGCATTAAAATATGTTACATACAGCACAAGACAAAAATTTCCTCATAAATTTGGGGGAAATAAAAAGCTAATGATACCTTTAGTCAGGGCCGTGAGGCTGCGCTTTGTTCTCAGTTTGGCTGCAGTCTAGAGAGACTGAAGTCTCTTTCAACTTTAAGTGGTGTGTTCTGCACATTTCCAAGAGGAGAGTGGATTTTATTTAAAAAAGCGGGAGGAAGGCCGACTTTCCAGTCATGGGCTCTTCTGTGTATGTGCGCGATGAAAGAGAGGAGGCAAATGAGGCAGGAGCCACTTATTCTTCAGGAACAGAAACTGCTGCCAATAAACACAGTGGAGAAAGTGAGGCCTGGTCTATACTAGACCCAGAAGGTTGGGTTAAGGTAAATAACATAGCTGGAGTCGACATACCGTAAGCTGAGCTTGGTGCCATCTTCACAGTGGGAGGTTGACGGCAGCAAATGCTCCTGTTAGTTTCCCTTATTCCTTGTGACTGCAGGGGGCACCCTCAGCATTTGACTTAGCAGGTCTTTACAAGACCCACTGAATCAAACTCCAGAAGATCGATCTCCAGAATGGTAAGTATAGACGTGGCCTGAGTCTATATATCAATGCAAGTGAGAGGATGACTAAGAACATCCGCTTCCATGGCTCGTGGGGCAGGGAGGTCTAGGTGGACATTCAGTCCAGGTGTACACTAATAATTAGGTGCTGTGTGCTTGC